ACATAACCCCCCCCCCCCCTCCCACCCCCCTCCCACCCTCCTCCAACGCCAACCCCCCCAACCCACCCCTCTCACTCACCCCACCCCACCCACCCCCACTGGCAGATGTACGCCCCACAGCCCGGGGGCAAGCCTGTCCAGGCACTGTACTTTGCTGACGGCTCGGGCTATGTCTTCCCGCGGACAGCCAGTGGCCAGCCGCAGACCAGCGGTACTCCTGCTGCCGCAACCGACGCGCACGCCACACGCTCGCACGCAGGCTACACTCCGGCCTCACCACCACGGGCTGCTCCTGCCCCGCCGTACTACAATGCAAGTGCTGTGACAGGGGCTGGAGTGGGTGGTCAGGCTCCTGCTTCAGGCTCGGTCCCGCGCCATCTCATGCCCGACTACACCCGCTACCAGGAGAACGAGATTGCCGCCCTCAAGGCCAAGGTCGCCTCGTCCATTCACTCGCAGCACTCGGAGATCCACGCCCTCCGCCAGTCCATGGCCCAGGCCGATGCGCATCTGCTGTATCTGCGGAACCAGGTCGAGGAGACTGCTGCCGAGCGGGACAACCTCCGCGCCATGTTCAACGCCGAGGCCGCCGCTCGCGCAGAGCTCGCTTCGCAGTCAGACGCCATGGCCAAGTCGCTCGAGCGGGAGGCCGATCGCTCACGTGCTTCGCGCGCCGCCCTCATTGACGAGCTTGAAGCCGCCATGGCCGAGCTCGCTGCCCTCCGCGCCGAGAAGGAGAAGCTGTCTATGGCCAACGCCACCCTCACCGCCCAGCTCGAGGTCCAGTCGGCAAGCGCATCGTCAGCTTCGGGCCGCGCCTCGGCTGCCGAGGCCGAGCTCGATAGCCTCAAAGCGTCGTCGACTGCCACGGCTGCCCGCGAGGCGGCGGCCTCGGCCCGGGTCTCGGACCTTTCTGCTGCCCTCGACTCGGCCCACACGACCATCTCCCGCCTCGAGACCGAGCTCACTGCTGCCCGCAACGCCGCTGCCGCCGCAGACGCCAAGGCACAGGCCTCTGCTCTTCGCACCGCTGAGGACGCGGCATCGCTCCGCGCCCTCCAGTCGCAGCTCGACCAGATGACCAAGGCTGCCGATGACAACCGCCGCGATGCCTCCACCGCCTCGTCCACTGTCCACTCGCACGCACAGACCATTGCTGCTCTCAAGGACGAGCTCGCCACCACAGCTCGCGCTCGCGAGGACGCGCTGCTCCAGCTCCAGCTTGCCTCCAAAGAAGTCGCCATGCTCAAATCGCAGCACGCCGAGGCCGAGGCTCGCTTCTCGGAGTTTATGACCACCTCGTCGCAGCTCGCCTCAACCCAGCGCGAGCTCGACTCGGCGCATCGCGAGCTCGAGTCCACCAAGGCGGCGCTGACCAACGCCCGTGCCGCCGCCTCCAACGCCGACGCTACCGTCTCGCGCCTCCGCGGCGACCTCGACCACGCCAACGCCACCGTCGCCCGGCTCGAGAGCCATCTCGACGACGAGCGCGCCGCCGTCGCTGCCGCCAAGGCTCTCTTCGCCACCGCCGAGAACAACCTCAAGGACGCCGAGGCCAAGCTCCGCGCCGCAGACTCAGACCGCCAGCTCTGGGCTGCTGAAAAGTCTCATCTCGAGTCGCTGCTCAAGGACGCCAACGCCTCGCTTACCCGCGCCGCCGAACGCGCTGCCTCGGATGCTGCCACTGCAGCCGCAGCCTTTGCTGCCGAGCGCACCGAGCTCCACGCCGAGCGCTCGCGTCTCGAGGACGAGCTTCGCACTGCGCGCAACCAGCTCGACTCGGCCCAACATGCACTCGAGCGAGCTCGTATCGATGCCTCCGACGCCGCCTCCAACGCCTCGGCCTCGATTGCCGCCAAGACTGCCGAGTGCGAGGCCCGCGTCGCCGCTCACGATCGTGACCACCGCGACCTTGTCGCCGATCTCCGCGCCCGCATCGCTACGCTGGAGACCACTGTCGAGCGGCTCTCTCCGTTTGAGCCCCGCGCTGCAGAACTGACTGACAAGGTCGCAGTTCTCGCCCGCGAGGTCGAAGCCTCAAACTCGGAGGCTCGCGCGGCAGCGGCAGAGCATCGCGAGCTCGAGCGCAAGTACGACGCGCTCGTCGCCGAGAAGGACGCGCTCCTCGCGAAGCGCCAGGACGACTACCAGCAGCTCGCCAAGCTCTCGCAGTACGAGAGCGCGCTCGCCGACCGCAACCGCGTCGTCGCCGAGCAGCAGGGCCTTATCGAGGACCTCCATTCGCGGCTCAACATCGAGTCGGACGCCCGTTCGCGCGCAGAGTCGGAGGCCGCCAATCTTACCGCCCACATCAACCAGCTCAAGTCACGCAACGACCGCCTCACCTATGATGCAGAGGTCCAGGACTCGGTCCTTAAGGCCCTCGCTGCTGCCGAGCCCGACCCGCTCCGCGCCCCGCCACGGCCGTCCTCCGCCTTTGCACCGGTCTTTGCCCACTACAACCCGCGCCAGCCGTACGCTGCAGCCTACGCCTACGAGCCGCCGCACCCGCAGCATACCGCCCATCAGGCCCGCCCGGCCTCGCGCCCCTCGTCTGCCGACCTCCCCTCGCATCCGCTCCCGCCACCGTCATCCGCTCAGCCCGGCGCCCGCCACTCGCCGCAGGCCGAGCTGCAGTCGTATTTGGCCTCGCTAGACTCGTCGATCCGGTCGACGCTCGGCCAGTGAATGCGGGCTCGCCGCGACCGCTAAACCCGTTGCCGTGCACGCACGTGCTGGCCTTGTGGAATTTGCCAACCCCCGCACACTGCTCGGACTTCCACCGCACTCCCATTTCACGCCATGCCGACCCTCCCCCTCATCGCACTGGTTGTCATTGCCTTGGTCATCACCGCAGTGCCGCTCGCGGAGGCGCGTCTGCTGCCGTTCCAGCACCTTCTGGGCGAGACAACGTCGGTGGTGGCGACGGCTGCCATTCCCACTCCAGCGGCCGTGGCGGTGCTTGATGCCTACGACAGCAGCCTGTTCCTTGATGAAGCCAGTGCCGCCTCGTGGGGCTTTCCTGCCGGCAGCTATCCCATTATGCTCATGCTCAACAACATGACGGATCTCAAGACCACGCCGATTGACATCATTCCAGGCCTCTGCGAGCAGTACTACGAGTTCATCGTCCTCATCCCCTTTACCTGCTTCAAGACCAACGCCTCGTTTTGCGGCGGAACGGCGACTCAGCTGTACCTCGACAACTCCTGGGCGGTGATCGGCGGTCGCGAGTTCTACCACATGCCTAAGACTCTCGCTCACGTCAACTGGGCTCGCGGCACCGGCGGTGCTCCCGATATCTTTGCCGCCACTGCCATGATCCAGCCCAGCGACCTCCTGCTCAACGCCTCCATGACCATCGACGACGATGTCACGTACACATACGCCGAGTTTGCCAAGTACATGCCGATGTGGACTGCCGCTTTTGACGGCTTGATCATCCAAAACTCACCGCTCTCATCGTCGCATTACTGCTCGTCCATGCCCATGGCCTGGGCCGATGCCTCGTTTTCGCCTGCCTCGCTCACGCTGGACCTCAACCCGACGGCCTTTGCTGGCCTCCCACCCTCTGCGTCAACGTTTGCCGTGGGCGCCGCTACGCCAGATTCGTCCATCGGTGCCTTTTACATGGCCAACGTCAAGTGGGCCCTCTCGCAGCCGTGGCAGTCGTGCGAAGCGTAAAACACGAGCTCTTTCACTCGATGACGTGCATGTCGCGGAGGGAGAAGCGGATCTGCGAAATAGCCTTGTCCACCTGCCCCAGCCTATGCTCCACCGCCGATCGCTCCTCGCGCTCGCGGCGCGTCTTGGGGTGTGACGGGATGCGCGCGAGCTTGGACTCGAGGCTCTGCTTCTCAAGCGAGAACTGCATCAGCTGGTTCTCCATCCGCCCGGTCTGCTCCATTCGCGCCTGCAGCGATGCCGCCGTCGCGTACGGCTCCATCTGCTGCGGCGCGCGTGCCTGCGGCTCGCGCCGCCGCAGCCGTCGCTCAACCTGCGACCCGGGGCCTCCTCCGCCGGGGTACTGCGGATGCTGTGGTGGGGGCGGCTCGCGACGCTCAGGCACTGCTCGGCGCTCGGGCCTCCCGCGCTGACGCGGTTCGGCAGTCTGCGGGTCAACCAGCAACGAGCCGACGTGATCGACATCGCGGAAAGGCCGCCTCGGCCGCCCGATCTCATCATCACCAAACACCATCGAGCGCATACCTCCGCGACCGCCATCCATCGTGTGCGGCCGACCACTGCTCTGCTTCTTCGGCGGCGAGAAAGACGCCATCGAAGATGTCTGCCACCGATCGCCGGTCTCCGGATCCGACCATCCAAAGTCAGCTGACGAGTGGTCCGGCCTGACCGGCGACGTCGACCGATACGGTGAGACAGGCGCCTGGCCTGGCCGCACACGCCGCGGAGGCGACGACGCCGGCGCAGTGCCGGGACGCCATCCCTCGTCCACTCCGCCCCTAGGCTGACGCTCCCGTGGCCGCCCACGCTCCAACTCGCGCGGCCGCTCACGCTCACGCTCATAGGCTGCTGGCCCAATGATCGATCCCGGCCCGGCTGATGTCGTCGGCCTCGACCGGCCCATGCCGATGCTGCCGCTGCCACCGCCGGCAGGGCCGCTAGCGGCACGCCGCAGCGCATGGTTCTCTTCCTGCAGCGAGCGAAGCTGGGCCAGCATGCCAGGATCGGGTCCGCTCCCGCCACCGCTGGCACGAGCCTGCTCGAGCGCCTGCCGCAAACCGCGGTTCTGCTCCAGTAGCTCCTGTACCCGGGACTCGAGTGCGGCAGCGGCCGACCCACCCGACGACGCATCGTCCAGAGCTGCGCGATACGACGCTGCGTTCTGCTCGGCCGCTGCAGCCTGGTCTGCCAGTCGCGACATGTGCGCGTGCATCGACTCCATCTGCGCCCGCAGCGCGACTGCTTCATCACGCGCTTGCTCGCGGTCAGCCGCAGCGGCGTCGCGGTCAGACGCCATTCGGCTCACCTCCTCCTTCATCCGCTTCACCGCCGACGACGACGAGTCGGTGTTCGTCGCCAGCAATCGGCACTGCTCCTCCAGCCGCTTGCACATGGTCTGCGACTCGCCCAGCTTGAAGAGCGCGTCTTCCTTCTCCACCTCGCGCCGGGTCACCAAATCCTGCAACGACTCGACCTTTTCCTTGTACGTCGTCACCTGCCGCGCCAGACCTTCGGCCTCCGATCCCGCCGACGCCGCCTTCTGCTTCAGCGCCGCCTCACCAGCTTTGAGCGCGGCCACCTCGTCGCTGAGAGCACGGATCTTGGCCGTGGCCGCGGTCATTTGTGCCGCGAGGTCCGACTCGCCGGCCGCTGACGCCGCCCGGAGCCCGTCGATTTCGGCGGCCGCAGCCTCGAGCTGGCCGCGTAGCCGCTCAATCTCGGCCTTGGCCGAGCTCCGCGTGTACTCGAGAGCTTTGTGCAGCTCCTGCGCCTCGCCGGTCACTTCTTGCAGCCGCTGCTCAAGCGAGTCGCGCATGCGCTCAAACTGCGCCCGCGGGACCATGTCGCCGCTCGGTGGCCCGGGCGGAGGTCCGCCGCGGGCGGGCCCACCACCTTGCACTGGCGAGCCACCGCGCGCGAGCCCGCTACCCTGCGTTGGCGGGCCATCCGGGCCCGGGCACTGCATCCGCGCCTGTGCCTGCGCCTGCGCCGCTGCCAGCGGATGCTCTGGCGTGACAGAGTCTGCCTGCTCGCGCAGTGACTGTAGATCCTGCTGTTGCAGAAACCGAAACGGCAGCTGCTGTCCCTGGCCAGCTGGCATGTGCTGTGGCGGACCGCGGCGAGGAGGGGGTGCCTCTTGCGGGGCTTGCTGCTGCTGGTGGTGGCGGTGCTGCTGGTGCTGCTGCTGCTGGTGCTGCTGCGGCGGCTGGCGAGGATGCGACGGTGGCTGGTGCTGCGGTTGGCCCTGCCCGCCGTACCAGGGCTGGCCGGGGTACGGCTGCTGGCCGGGGTACGGCTGCTGGCCGGGGTACGGCTGCTGGCCCGGATAGTACCCCGGTGGTGCCATCATCAATGGCATGACCATGGGCGCAGCCTGGCCACCATGGCCGCGGCCGCTGCGGCGCTGCCGGCCCGGACGCGATCGCCTCCCACGGTGCGAGCGCCCGTCGCGTCGCGACCGACTGTGGTGCCCGTGGCGGTAACCATGCCGTCCGCTCCGCCCGCCACTCGGGTATCGGTACTCATCGCCGTCGTCGTAAGAGTAGTACCCGTCGCCGAGCGAGTACGAGTAAGAGCTGCCGCCACCGTCGACGTCGCCAGACGAAAAGTGCGAGACGCCACCGTCAGCCCGCCGCCCACGGCCTGAGCGCGAGCTTCGGGTCCGCTTCCGCGAACGAGGCTCGGGTGCCGCGACTCCACGGCCGGCGTGTCCACTGCTGCGGTCTGCCACATGCGGCGGGAGTGCGCGATGTGCCTCGGGTCGCCGCGCCGGGCTGAGCGAGAGCGACTTGCGATCCTCGTGGAGGACACCGCCGGTGGTAGGTGTTGGGACATAAAACTGCGACTGAAACGGGAGCTCGTCCTCGCCGGCCGACACGGACGTATTCGCTGCGCCAACTCCGGCACCAAGCCGCGGCGGCTGGTCGTTTCCCAGTGGGGTGTCCGGCGACGGCGGGAGGCGGGGGACGGCCGTCTGTCCACCGCGAGCCGGTGGGCTGCTCGCTCCTGGCCTGGCGTCAAACTGCGGATCGTGATCATGGTCGGCAAAGTCATGGTGCCGCTCGACGGAGGACGGCTCGGCCTGCGTATGCTGCAGCATTGCCGCGTGTTCGAGGAGTGTCATGCCCGCGGCTTCCGAGCCGCGTGGTGTGACCCGTGCCGGCGTCCGCGACAGCTCGCGCGACGGCAAAAAGGTGCCCGTCGCAACGTTCCCGTGGCTGTCGATAGTCCGCGGCCCGCGCGGCGGCGAGCCTAGCTCGGCCTCGACGTCCTTGTTGTCGTCGATGACAAACTCGTCCGAGATGTCCTCGTCGTCCTCGTCCTCGCCGTCAACAACCCGGTATGGCCCGCCGCGGACCGGTGGCGCCGTGGTTGGCAACGGCGGCGAGGCCGAGTACGAGCCGGCGTCGTCAAATGAGGTCGAGTCTGCCCCGCCGTTGCCGATGTGGCCCGAGTCCCCGTCGTACTCCTCCTCCTCGTCGTCGTCGTCATCTTGGTCGGCAGCGTGAGTCCTTCGCGCCGACGACTGCACCACGAGGTTGTCTGCCTCGTCGGTTTCGTCGTCATCGTCATCGGGGTGGCCGACAGCCGCGCCGCCATGCGGCGAGCCAGCCACCGACGGCCCGGCATACACCGACGACTTGACCGGCGTATACGCTGCGTTCTCCTCAAATACCGAGTCCAGCAGCTCGTCATCCTGCGCCGACGAGAATGAGGTGATGAGCGCTGACGGCGAGTCCGGCACAGCCGGAATCGGTGCCGTGGCGTTGGTGAACGACGCCAGGACCTCCTTCTGGTCGACTTGCAGCTCGTGCTGGAGCCGGGCCCGCGCCGACGCCCATGCCGCCGACGACGGCGCCAGCGGCGAGTCAATCAGCTCCTCGTGATAAGCAAAGCTGTACTCGGGCGAGTTGCCAATCCGGTCGCCGGGTGGTGGCGATGCTGCTGCCGGCGGCGTCCGCGGAATGCGCGGCTTGCGCGAGAACGCAGCTGCGTCGAGCTCACCACCTCCACCTCCCCTCACGGGCGACGTCAGCGAGTCGACGTCTGATGACATGTCCAGGTATCCTTCAGCCATCTCTTCACCTCGTGTCGTTGTTCTCTTCTCCGTCCTGCTCTCTTCCCCTTTGTCTGCGTCTGCTTGCCTCTGCCTCTCGCTGCGCGCGAAAAAACGGCCGCTTTGCCCGCTCGGTCTCACTGTCTCCAGCGCCCAGGGTGTGTGCGGGGGGGGGGGGGGACCACTTGCTCAACAGTCCAGCACTCGCCCGAGCCGTGCGGGTGTGGAACTTGTACTACCCTCCTCGAGGTCTAGCCCGAGCAAGTCAAGAGTGTCTGCCAAGTGGCAGGTGTCCCCTCCTCCCCCCCCCCCCCCCCCGGGGGGGGCTCCCCCTCCTCCTGCCACTGCCACTCTCGCCTGCCACCGCCCAAACACAATCACGATCACGATCCAGAGCACGATCACCACTTCACCCTCCCCTCCCCTCCTCCCCGCCTCCACCACCTTCCTTGTCATGACCTCGGAAGTCGGCTGGCGGGCACTGGCAGGGGCACTGAAACGGCATGCGGGTGGCGACCCACATCCTGAGGTCCATTCAATCCTGGTCACTGCACAGGTCGGCCTTGGTGCTGCTGCATGGGTTGTCGACCAGACTGAGACGGCCGGCGGTCTCGTCGCTCACTGCCACCCGTCCGAGGTCTTCGCTGGCTTTCCGGGCGATGTGCGGCGCGGGCTGGCGCATGCAGTCCATGCTGCTGGTGTGAAGGCACTTGAAGGTCTCCCGGTTGTGCTTGTAGTCCACGACGTCGAGCTGCTGGCGCCCGGGAAGCGGAGGGCCGCAAGCGCACCCGATCGTGATGAGCTTCTCACCGAGCTCGGCCTCGTGGCGCTGATCCGGGCTGCGCCCTCATCGGATGTTCTGCTCGTGCTCATTGCCGAGAGCACTGCTCTTGTTTCGCGTCGCGTTGTCTCGTCTGTGAACGTGGTCATTCCGCTCGCCGCCATGCCCGGCCCGATGCGGATGACCCGGGCACTCGCCGATGCCGCCGCCGCCGGGCTCGAGTGTCCGGACACGCCTTCGACGAGATGCGCACTGAGCGCGGTCTCGCAGGGATATGTCTTTGACGACTTGCGCCAGGGCGTCCGCAATGCGGCGCTTGACTGCGCCATGGCAAGTTGCTCGCGTGACGCCCACCTCGGCGCCGTCTGCACCGCGCTGGAGCGCGTCACCCCGCTGTCGCAGTATGACGCACCGGTCTCTGTCCCAAACGTCTCATTTGACGACATCGGTGGTCTCGACCGCGCCAAAGCCTTGCTTGGTGATGTCGTAGCCGAGGTCAAGGCTGCAGCCTCTGCCCGTGACATTGGCGATGGGCCGGGCGGCTTTGCGCGCGGCGTTCTGCTCCACGGCCCGCCGGGCACCGGCAAGACCATGCTTGCCAAGGCTTGCGCTTCTGCGCTCGGCGCTTCGTTTCTCGCAGTTCCAATGTCTCGCATTCTGGTTGGCTTTGTGGGTGCGTCGGAAAAGGCGCTGGCGAGCTTGTTTGCCGTTGCACGCTCCGCAGCGCCGTGCCTGGTCTTCTTTGACGAGCTGCAGGCAGTGTTTGGCGTCCGCGGTGCGTCCAAAGCGAGTGCGTCGGACAACAACCTCGTCACGCTCCTGCTTACCGAGATGACGGCCTCTGCCCCACATGGCGTTTTGGTTGTCGGCGCAACTAACGTGCTGGCCGGCATCGATCCTGCGCTCCTCACACCGGGCCGCTTCGACATTAGCATTCTGGTTGATACGCCGGGCCCCGCCGACCGCGCAGCCATCCTCAGCGGCATCCTCGCAGCCATGCCGTGCGCTGCAGGCCTTGACTTGACATCGCCCCGGTTCGATGCCATTGTGACCGCAACAGACTCCGCCTCGGGCGCGGATCTCCACGGCCTCGTCCACGCTGCCGGTCTTGCGGCCCTCCTCCGCAACGTCGTCTCTCCCACGCTCACCTACGACGATCTCGATGCTTCCATTGCCCGTTCAGCGCTTCTCCACTCCAGCTGAGGACGAGCCTTCCGCCGCGACCCAGCGGCGGCGACGGCGACTGACCAAGTAGACTTCTGCCGATTCGCCGCCTTCCCTGCCTCACGCTCACGCCACCCCCACCGCACTTCCTCACAGCCATGGCGGCTTCGTCGGCCACCTCGGCCACCACCTCGTTCTACGAGCAGTACTTTGGTAATGAACTCGAAGAACGCTATGGTGACGTGGCCTATATGACGTAGTACGCTCCCTTCTCGTCTCCTCCCCTGCTCCTTGCCCACACCAATCGCCCCCACCGATTGCGGCACATGTCATGCGACCTCTCCTCCCCCCTCCTCTCCGCATCTCTGCACCCTACTCACGCCCAGTCCAGTGTATACACCTTTGGAAGGCCGTCGCTCTCTGGCCATGGAACAAAGTACCGGGAGACCATGCCTCGGATCCTGCAGCAGTTTGAGTTGGCGTGCGTGGTCAAGGTCGCGGTGGCGTCGTTCTTCTCGCTGGCGCTGACGCGAGCCGGGCAGGTCTACTTGTGGGGGCAAGAGGTGTCGGACGGCGCGCACGAGTCGTGGTACGGGCATGATCTGGAAGGTTATCCGGCACAGCCCGAGGTGCTCCAAGGCGATCTGGCTGACCTACGCATCACCGAGATTGCCACCTCCACTCCGGGTGGCATGGGCACTCTCTGCGGCGTGGTGGCCGACGGCACAGCCTGGGTGTGGGCGTCCGATGGCGAGGTTCAGGTCACAACCACCCGCATCGAAGGAGTGACTTCAGTCAGTGTCATCGTGCTGGGCGACGAGGTCGGGGCGGTGCTGACGAGCGACGGCGCGGTCTTTACCTTTGACGTCCGCGTCCTCGTCGACCCGTACGGCGGGCCAGCCGGCGCTGGGCCGCCTTCGATCATGGCAACGAGGGTCGAAACGCTGGTCGGCAAGTGCGTGGTGCAGCTTGCAGCTGGCTCGACGTATCTGGCCGCGCTCGATGCTGACCACAACATGTACACCTGGGGCTCGCAGTCGCCGCACTCGAACGGCGGGTATCTCGGGCATGGCGCCAAGTACGTCGACCCGGAGCTTGACTCAGAGCCACGGCTTGTGGAAGCGCTTGCAGGCCGGGTCCGTGCCATTTCTGCCGGCTGGATCCACACCATGGCGGTCGACGTCGACGGCCAGCTGTGGGCGTGGGGCGATGGCCACGACAACCGACTCGGGCTCGGCAGCTCCGATGCTGACTTTTGGGCGGGACGCCGCGGCACGCCCCGACCAAGGTCGAGGCACTCCAAGGCGTCGACGTCATGGCAGTCTCCAACTCGCGCGGCAACGAGGCCGCCATCTCGACCGACAACAAGGTCTACACCTGGGGCGGCCCGCGGTTCGGTGGCCAGTTCCACTCGGACACCCCGTCGCCGCTCACCAACTTTATTCCGCTCTACCGCAACGGCGTGGCCCAGATCCAGCAGATTGCCTGCGGCCGGTTCCACACCGTCCTTGTCACCCGCGTCCGCCTCACCCTCGTCGAGCTTTGCCTCCGCCACATTGCGTACAACGCCTCGCATTTTGCCGACAACGAGATCGACTACCTTCCTCTTGAGCTCCAGGACCTCCTCCATCGGTTCTGCCTCGATCGCCGACTCCCAACCCGTCGCCCGCTCACCGCCGAGGAGCGGGCCCAGATCCGCGTCCGTCGCGATGAGTTCTCGTTTTTCGAGGGCGCGTCGGATCCTGAGTACGAGTACGCTTACGAGTACCCGTCGAGCGACGACGACAGCGGCGGCGAGGGCCCGGCCGACACCCGCACCCGCACCCGTGTCCGCACCCGGATCGGTCGCCGCCGCATGCGCCGGGGCCGAAACCAGAGACGCGGCGGCGGGGGCGGGGGTGGCATCTCCATCCAACAGCTGCTCTCCATCGTCTCCCGCCACCCCAACCTCTCGCTCCAGGCGAACGGCGACGGCTCGGTCTCGCTCGTCATGGCCGGGAGCGACGACGAAGGGAGCGACGGCGAGAATGATGATGGAGGAGGCGGGTTGTTTGACATTTTCCAGGCTTTTGCCGCGTCTGACGACGAACAAGGCAGCGATCCTCCGTACGACCCGGACCTCAGCTCGGGGTCATCCTCGTAGTTGGCCACGGCATCATGGGATCATGCCGTATGAGCCGCCGGTCGGCGAGGTAACCCCGCGCGGCGAGCGCGCGGCGCGCCGCTGCCGCCGCCGCATCAAGCGGATGGCGATAAAGACAAGGATACAGACCAGTGCTCCCGCGGCAAACGAAAATATGGATGCCAGTGCCACTGTTGAGTTCTTGGTGTAGCCCGAACGCGAGGCACGCTCCTCAGCGGCATTGGCCTCGGCCAGCGTCGTCGTGAGCCGGGTGACATAGTCTGTGAGGATGGCATCAACCGAGTAGCTGAACATGATCCGCATGTCGGCAGCCGCGTTGACGGTCCACACAGCAACAGCCATAAAGTGACTCTTAGCAGCAGCCACAAACTCGGGCGTAATCACCTTGCGCGAGACCGAGAAGCCGTCGACGCCGCGAAGCGCCATGTCCGCAAAGAATGCGTCCGGATCAGCCTCAAACGCCTCAAGCGAGCCGGTGAGATACTGGATCCGGGTCGCGTTGAGTGCGTTGCGGACCTCGGCCATCTGGTCAAACGTCCAGCACGAGGCCACCGTGAGGCCCTGGACCTCGGGATCCGGAATGACGTCGGCGAGGAGAGCACCGATGCCTGGTCCGGTCTGCTTCATGTCGAGGACCATGAACACACCAGCTGGAACCGTCACCGCCAGACCCTCGGCCAGCGATGGAATCTTGGCGCCGGCAAACTGCGGTCCAAACCACGAGCCTGCGTCGCACTCGGAGAGCTGCGGCGGGCCTGATGCCGGGAGGAAGTTGTACGTCGAGATGGAGCCGGTGCAGTTGGTTGTCCGGTCGAGATCCTCGTCATGGAGTAGAACAATGACCCCGTCCTTGGTCACTTGCAAATCAATCTCCACCCCGTCCACGCCTGCCTCAATGGACATCTTCAGTGCAGCCAGCGTGTTCTCTGGCGCCGCCGAGGAGTAGCCGCGATGGGCCACCGCCCTCGGGAGCACTTTGGTCACCATGGCTGCCGAGCCAAGCTGAGCCACGCACACCACCACCGCGAGCACCAAAAGACTCAGCCGAGCCATTCGCAGCCGAGCATCTGTCATTCCCATGGCAAACGTCTCGTTTCCAGAGTTGGGTGGTAGTCGTGGTGGCTGTGGTGGTGGCTGTGGTGGTGGCTGTGGTGTTGGTGGCGGGTTGAAGCAGGGGCAGGGTGGGCGCCGGCGGTGGTCAAGTTGGGCGCGACTCGTCGGACGAGCGGGCGCCATCAGACGACACGAGTGGGTGGCAGCAGGGGGGCGGGGGGGGGGGGGAACGAGGCGACGACCACAAGATGGGGTGAGGCTGTATGACTCACCACCTAACGCTGACCCAAGGTCGAGTAGACACAGACCCTCTACCTCTCCTTCTGCTTCTCCCTCTGCCCTCGGGAAGTCAGCCAGCGTAGTCCGAGTCCTGCTCCTCCTCCTCTCCTCGGCCAACCATGTTCAAGTTTGGGGCAAGCAAGGGTGCCGGAGGAGGCGACGCTGCTCCGGCTGCAAAGCCCAAGGCGACCGGCGGCTTTACCTTTGCCGCAAAGTCCAAGCCTGATGCTTCTGCCAAGGCCAAGGCTGCCGGTGGTGGCTTTACCTTTGCCGGAAAGCCCAAGGATGCCGCCGCGCCAAGCTCTGCTGACGCGGGTGACGAGGCCAAGCCCAAGCCCAAGGCCGGAGGCTTCAGCCTTGGCAAGACCACCACCGCGCCCAAGGCCGCCGATGGCGACAAGGCCAAGCCCAAGGCCGGAGGCTTCAGCCTTGGCAAGACCACCACGGCGCCCAAGACCACCAATGGCGGCGGCGACGACAAGGGCAAGTCCGAGGCGAATGCTCCAGCGAAAAAGTCGGTCGGCTTTGCCATTGGTACCAAGTCCAGCTCCAAGACAACCAGTTCTACGTCTGGTGCCAAGACCATCGGAAAGGCGGGCGCCGGAGCGTCTCCTGGAGGAATTGACTTCAATCCGACGTTCCGCACTCTGTTCGAGACGCTCGAGGCTGCCGATGCGCGACGTGTTCCGGTCAAGAAGCTCTCAACGTACCTCGACGTCCACAGCGGGGCGATTCTCAAGCCGTTTGCGTTCTTCAAGCCGCAGTCGGCGGCGTCGGCCAAGAAGGTCCGGAGCGGGAGCGTGAGCTGGCGCGGCAAGCCGCTCAAGGTCGACAAGCATCAGGCAGACTTTGTGGTCCGCGTTGCAGGCCTTGTCGGCGTCGACGAGCTTCAAGTTCTCGGCCTCCTCCACGCCTTCTTTTACACTCAGGGTGTTCGCATGCAATCGTTCGACTACAGTGACGACACCTTTGCGCTTGCTGTTGCTGACCACTACTTTGACGAGCGGCTTTGCATCTTCCACTGCATGGGAGCCATGCTCCGCAACGCGTCGGATGAGACCAACGCTTACCACAGCGTTTGCAAGGCCTTTGTCGACAAACATGTCTCTGCCACCTTTGCCGCCGCCCTCGTCGACGGATACAAGGCGCTCGCCGCCACCGAGCTCGAGCCTCAGTCCGATGTCGGCACCGCTCGGCACGTCACCACCGCTGCCGCCCTCGCCAACATCCGCGAGCAGCTCGCACTCCTCGAAACCGTCTTCCTCGCGTACTACTCGGCCATCACGCCGCGGTTTGCTGACCTCGACTTGCTCAGCAACCTGTTTTACAGCCAGAACTTTGGCCAGAACCAGGTTAATGCGGCGCTCCTCCCGCACGGGGCAGGCATTCTCATCGACCGTGTCTCCTACCTCCACGTCCTCATTCTGCTCGAGGTCATGTCGCTCGAGGGCTTCCTGCCCGTCGCCTACGAGGACCTTGCCCTCGGCCCGGATGACGATGTACAGGCCGAGTTTGGGCGGAGCCACCCTTACATCGCCGACCACGAGCAAGTTCTTGCCTTTCACAAGACGCTTGTCGGCTGGATGGAGATCTCGAGCTCGCTGTTCCTCGCCCCGATCCTCCTCGGCTGGGCTGCGGTTCTCGAGCGCGAGCACTATTTTGCGCGCAAGAGCGCCGAGGAAAACAACAAGGGAGACATGAGCTTTGCTGGCGGCAATAGCGACAGGTCGCCTGATCCCCATTCTGTCGCCATGGGGTACGCAATTGGCCATAGCGCCTTCGACGTCCTCATTGCGCTCATGCAGCTCGAGTCGTCAGAACTCGAAGGCTTCAAGCCCAACTCGGTCGGTTTCAAGTCGGTTCTCAAGGGCCTTCTTTTCTCGCTCATCACCTCGTTTGGCGCGTCATCCCTGGTTGCTGCCGCGCCGAGTGTTGTCGAGTTTGCCGTCCAGATCTTCGACTCGGAGCCCGACCTCGTCCGCCAGTTCTGGCACGTCGACTTTCACTCGAGCACCCTCCGCTCGCTGTACGACACCTGCGTGGCTCGTTTCCCTGTCCAATTCTACCCGCTCTGCTCGCTGCTTCGCGCCCTGGCGTCCGACCCGGACTGTGCCCGCATCGTCACTGTCATCCTCGGCGAACTCGACACGCTCACCGCGGTCGTTGACGACAACTCGGTCGAAAGATACAGCTACTCGAGTGATGAGCCGGCCTACCCGTACGAAGAAGTCGAGTACTACACCCTCCACGACATTGACCTCGGCAATGCGCTCAACATCACGCTGCCGGCCGGAACAGTCGGTGTTCGGCTCTCGGAGCCCGACATGCCGCTCACCATCCAGTTCCACATCCGCTACTCGGCTTGGCACGTCCTCTACGCCACGCTCGCCAAGTTTGCCAAGAGCGTGTGTGACGGCGCACCGGCGCTCGACCTCGTCGAAAGCGTCACCTGTATTCTGCAGCTGATGGCACGGCTGTTGGAGCAGCAACCGAGCCTCGACAACATGTTCCCTGCAGCATACGCCGAGCCGGAGGCCTTCGGTCGCGCCAACCCGGCGCTGGGCAAGCTCCTCGGCTCGCCGGCGCCCATCAAGCACTTTCTCCCGCTCCTATTCCCGATTCTCTCGCTCTGTGGCGCGTACTCGGATCCGCCGCTGGACATGCTCACCGCCGCGCTTTCGTGCGTCTCGTACTTTGCCCTCGCCCATCCGACCGAAGTCTGGGAGCGGCTGCAGTACTCTGACTTTCTCCCGTCGTACGCGCCGCAGGAGGAGGCTTTTGCCACGGGTGCTGCCGGCGGCGGCATGCGGTCGGCGCTGCAGCGCATTCTACACAACACTGAGGTGCCCAACGGCGAGTACTCGATGACGCTGGCCTTTCTCGACCTCATCTCGACGCTCCTTGTCAACTGCCATCTCTCGAGCCCGGTCGATGGCGAGTTTCACAGCAGGCATGCGCCGCGAACAACACTTTCGTTTGCCGCTCTCGCGCCGGCGGTCGACTACCTCCGCACCGAGGTATTTGCGTACTACGACGGCTGGCGCTACCGGTCGGTTCTCCAGCGATGGGAGATCGGAACCAAGATTCTTGCTATTTTTGCCGAGATCCTGTACGACACCTCGAGCGACGACTCGGTGGTGGCCATGGCAGTGGCCGAGCCCGGTGCGGCCGACGCGGCGCCGTTCTCGCTCAAGGACTCGCTTGTCGACGCCTTTATGCACGACGGCTCGCTCCATCATGCCCTCCTCACCGTCATCGGCATGGGGCCGCACGCTGTGGAGGCGCTGTTTGCTGCACGGCGAACTCGCGAAGCGCAGGCTGTCGAGGCCATGATCATCTCCGCCTTTGAGGTCCTCCACTTTCTCCTCTTTGACCCGTCTGTGCAGGAGGCCAACGCCGCGCTCCGCACATCGCTCCTCTCACGGACTGTCGGTGGCGACGAACTCTCGCTCATTGCCGCCATCGCGTCGTACATCAACTACCCGTACGCGCCGCGTGTAACCGTTCTTGCCGTTGACACACTCTCGCAAATCTGCACCATCTCGCTCGCCTCGCGGCCGTCGCCGTCGATCCTGGGCTACTTTGGCGCCGACGCACCCATCTTCCGCGACACCTTTGTCAACCGCCTCAAGTCGAGTGCTGAGGACGAGGCCGTCCGCATCGCCATTCTCAACCTCATGTCGACCGCGCTCGAGACCCAGCCTGGCCTTGCGCAGCTGCTCCTCAACGACGAAGTTGGCGAGAGTGGCACCGCCAAGGGGATTGCGGCGGACGAGAAGGCCAAGGCCAAGACCAAGCAGCCGCCCAGGTCCAAGGTGGGAGTCACCTCGGGCCTCTCGATGATTACCAAACTCCTCAAGCACGCGCCCAAGGCGTTTACCCAACAGCCGCGGCTGTTTGAGCGGGCACTCGCGCTGCTGTACTCGCTCTGGGGTTCGTCGCACTCGCGCGGCATCATCCAGGTCCTCCGCGAGCTACCGGACTTTTGGCGGTCGGTCTGTGCACCGTTGCTAGGCAAGCCCAACCCGCTGCCGGACGACCTCTTCAAGCCAGTGGACGAGGGCGAGGGCGAAGGCCTGCCAGCGGAGACCGCGGTCTCGCGGTGCTATCAGCTTGCGTGCCAGACCTGGGCGCTCCAGATTGTGGCGCTCGAGCTCTACCACCGAACACCGTTCGGCATCGACGCCTCGCTAGTGGGTGTCATCAACGAGTTGGCAACCAAGACCAAGTGGGAGGTGTGGATGAAGCCGTTCATGGCGACTTCGTTTGAGCCGTCGGTTGTGGCTGAGCTTCGCACTGCGGCATCGCGCCTCGGCATCTCGCTGGGTAACTTTAAGACGCTCCGCACGCCGTCGCACTCGTTTGGTGCCGACTATGTGTACGATACCTCGCTGCTGGCCAAGAAGTTTGCGCCGCAGCGCCACGAAGACAACGTCCGCGACCTCTTTGAGCTGCTCCCTGTGGCCAACCTTGCGTGGTCGCTTGCCGATGCCGAGTGCGCGGTCGTCAAGGCGCTGGCGCTGTTTATGGAGTCTCTCGTCTTCCGCCATCCGTGGCTCTTCACCGCCTCGCCGGCACCCAAGCCGAAAGCAGGTGGCGCCGACGGTGAGGCGCCGGCGGCCTCGGCGCGCCAGCTGTTCAACGACGCTGACGAGAGTGGCGCCAAAAAGGCTGCCGCGGCGGGGTGGTACTTTAACGTCCTCGACCTGCTCGCCTCTGTCGTGGCCGATCATGCAGGCGACGACCGGGTCGTCGAGGCCATGCTGCTCGAGATCATGGACATGTTTCTCTCGCTTATCTCCGAGTGGACACTTGGTGTCTCGGCGCGCCTTTCTGGTGACTCGCTGCTCCACGACGTGCCGCAGCTCGCGCCGCTGCCGCGGACGGCCAGGCCGCTCACGGCCGCCAACGCTGCCGTTCTTGTCAGCAAGCTCCGGGTGACGCTGGACAAGCAGCTGGTGGTGTATCGGACCGAGAAGGCTGCGGGCGTGCCGCCGCTCCTCCCGCCTCTGGTCACGGCCCTTGTCATTCTCCTTCGATACACTCCGCGTGGCGCCGAGTCTGGCAGCGGGGCCGAGCCAGTTCCTAGCAACAGCGAGGCATCGAAGCCATTTGTCGACCACGAACTCCTACTTCCGCTGCTGTGCGAGACGGTTGCGCTGTTTGCGGGCGATGACGGCATGCTCCGGGTTGGAGTTGCTGCGCTCGACGCGCTCCTCTCTGTGCCGTCGCAGCGCAAGCCGGCGCGGAACGTCGAGGTGCTCGCACAGAATGCCACCGTGGCGACGCTCGTCGCTGCGCTTGTGCGGCAAGTGCGGTACATGGAGACGCCGGACCTCGCCGAGATCATCCTTGACATGTTCCTCTCGTTTGCCTCCTCTGCAGCCGGCGCCGCGGCGCTTGTCCACGAGGGACTGCTCGCGAAGCTCGCGTCGCACCCGCTGTTCGGCCAGGGGCCGGGCGAGCACGGGCTCGCGATCTACCTCGAGAGTGGAGAGCGCAACGGGTGGCACGCAGTCTGGTGCCAAACGCTCGCGCTCGTCACCATGGTCCTCCAGTCGCTGCCGTTTGAAGAGAGCGTCGCCGATGCCGCGCTCGAGTTTGTAGCGCTCCACCAGCATGCGCTGGCCAGGGCGCTCTTTGTCGAGACAAACCCGATGGTGGCGATGGAGGACACCTCGCCGAATGCTCCGTCGTCACTCACGCTCGCCAAGCTCGAGGAGATGCAGCGTGTCGCCGGCCTGCTGTACGTGCTCTCGCAGCCTGAGTTTGTGCAGCGGTGGCAGTTTGTGGTGCCGGGCGCAGCTGCGGCGCACCAGGCGCGGATGACTGCGCTCCTCACTGATGCTGTTCACCTCCTCCGCGAGTCGGGCACGCTTGCGGCGCTGGTGGTCCCGGTCACCCACGCCGAGTACAAGCTCTCGAACCGGGCACGCGACGAGAGCAGCAAGAGAGAAAAGGGCGGCGCTGCCGCGGCCCAAACATTGACACGCGACCGCGTGTCGTACGCGCGCCGCCGTGATGTCCGCCAGCTCCTCAGCGAGGAGCAGTACACCGTGGGCGGCCTGCTGGGAACCGGCAAGCCGGCGCTGGCGGACGCGCTGGTAGCACTCAACACTGATGTCGCAACGGCTGCAAGGAAAGCGCCGACAGAGGCCAAGAGCAGTTCATCGAATGGTGTCTTTGACGCCAACCCGCTGGTGGCGCTGGTGCAAAAGCGGCTGCTTGTGGTTCTGCGGTCGTGTGTGGGCGTGGTGACTCGGCTGGCACCGGACGTCCGCGGCATGTACAACGGCGACGTCCTGCTCTCGTCGGTCAAGATCTCATTTGCGCCGCGATCGGAGCACAGCTCGCAGCTGCCGTCCATGTCGGTACTCGTCGGCGCGACGCGGCTCTGTGTCGACATGGTGGATGCCATCGGAGATTCGCCGGCTGCTGACCAGGCTGCGCTGACCACGACCAAGGCCGTCCTCATGTACATCATCGAGAACTGTACCTACGTCCTGCTCGGACACATCGTGTTCTTTGTCAACACCAAAATGTCGCGGAGTGAGAGCATGGACGTCTTGCGCAACGTCGCCAGCCTCCGTGATCTCCTCGCCAAGGAGGCCATGAGCGGGAACAAGTTCCTCGCAACTGCACGGGAAATGCTCGAGTCGACAGTCGCCAGCAGCGACGGCAAGTAAAGAGCAGCACGAGAGACCCACACCTTTCTGGCGGCCCACACCATTCAACCAGCACAGCATGGCATTTTGGCAGAGTTGCGTCGAGGTTGTGCGCTCGCGACCCAAGAGCGTGGTGGCCGGAATGGTGGCGGTGGCGGCGCTGGTGAGGAGCGTGGGTCGATACCTCGCGCTGACGCCGACGGAGCGGTGGCACTTCTGGCGCGGCGTGGCCAACCTCCGCCGGTTCTCGCCGGTGGTGGTAGCCAACACGCTGCGGTGGGCATGCTCGGTCCGGGGCCTGCGGTTCATGGCTGCCACCTGGGGCCTGGTCGATGACGAGGCGCTGGCGGCGGCGGCGGTCCCGCTCCCGGCTCGGGCGCCGGTCCCGGACCTCCCGATTTGGATCCCGCTGATGTACGAGCACGCCACGCTGCGGAGCGTGGCCGAGCCGGACTCGGTGCCAGCTGTGGCGAGTCATGGTCTGCTGGGTGCGCGGGCGTATGCGCGGGCGCCCGACGGAGGAGCTGATGCGCCCGAGACAGTGGCGGCGCTGCGGCTGGCGCCGATGGCGGCGCTGACGCTCCGCGGCGAAAAGGTGGGAAGGGGTGTGATGCGGAGCGCGCGCCCGTTTGATGGCATGTATGACGGGAGGGCGGTGGCCGTCTTCCGCAACACCGACGCGTACCACTTTAGCGCGCTCTGGACCGAGCTCCCCGGCTGTGGGCTCTTTCTGCCGTGGGCGGTGGACGAGGCCTGGGAGGCGCCGCTGGCGGCGGTCCTTGCCGGCGACATGAGCCCGGCCGAGCTGCAGGAGGCTGATCCGGTGCTGTACACTGCGCTGCGGCGGCGGTGGGTCCTGGCCACGCCGGCCGAGTGGGTGGCGGCCGCGGAGCACTGGGAGGCGATCGTGGACGAGGCGCGGGCGCAGTTTGCGGCGACCGGCTGGGTCCTCCTCGAGGGCCTACTTCCTGCGGAGCACTTTGCGGCGGTCCGTCTTCACTGTCGCATGCTGTTTGAGAATGGGGCATCACTCTTCCGCGCCGAGAACGGACACTCCAAGTTCCGATGGACCGAGCCCGTGGCAACGTACCTCAACAATCAGCTGACGCCACTGGTGGCGCGCATTGTGGGTGAGCCACTTGTTCCGGCGCGGCCGATCACCCACTGGTACCTTCCGCGGTCGTCGCTCCTCTTCCACATCGACGGTATGCCGTACACGTACTCGATGTCGCTCAACGTGGACGAAGTCCGCGACGCCGACGCGCATGTACCGTCGTTCTCGTTCTCAGTCATCACCAACTCGCTTGCGGCGCCTGTGGCCGACTTTGAGCTTCCGCTTGGCGTCGCCATCCTCTTTAAGGGCTCTACGCTCCCGCACTACCGCGACGTGCAGTACTCGCAGACGCAGACGTCGATGTCGTGGTCGTTTGACCGCGTGGCGTTTTAATGGCTGCAGGTTGGGACGGTGCGGGCTCACGCTGACGCCGCGACCTCGTCGGCGGGCTCGGCGTTGAGCGACTCGAGGTCTGCGGGCAGCTCGCGGATGGTGGTGTCGTAGTACGCCTCGATGGCGCGCATGTAGCGAGCGGTCTGTGGGGTGATGATGTTGATGGCGAGGCCCTTGCGTCCAAACCGGCCTGAGCGGCCGATGCGGTGGATGTAGTTCTCCTTGGAGAGCGGTAGGTCGTAGTTGACGACGAGCGAGACTTGCTGGACGTCGAGGCCACGAGCCCAGAGGTCTGTGGTGATGAGGACGCGGGCGGCGCCAGAGCGAAACTCTTGCATGACCGCGTCGCGCTCGGCCTGGTTGTGCTCGCCGTGCATGACCGCAACGGTAAAATGAGCCTCGCGCATCCGGGCGGCGAGCGTGTCGACGTGGGCGCGCTTGTTGCAGAAAATGACCGCCTGAGTAATGGTGAGCGAATCGTAGAGCCCACAGAGGGTGTCAAACTTCCACTCCTCGCCGTCGACCGCCACGTAGTACTGCGCGATGCCCGAGAGCGTGAGCCCGTCGCGGTGGACAAGGACCTTGGTCGGCTTGGTCATGAACTCTTCGGTGAGGGCAAGGACGGCCCGCGGAAGGGTGGCCGAGACCAGCACGACCTGGACCTTACCCGGAAGCGAGGTGTAGATGGTGTCGATCTTGTCCTTGAGTCCGCAGAGGAGCATCTCGTCGGCCTCGTCGAGGACGAGCATGCGGACCGACTTGGGGTTGATCATCGACCGTCGCAGCATGTCCAGCATCCGACCGGGTGTGCCGGAGACAACCTGGACGCCCGCACGCAGCTTGGCCAGATCCGCCTTGATGGCCTTGCCGCCGACACACGCGTGCGCCTTAACGCCGAGGTAGTCGCCGAGCGCGGAGAGCACCGCCGCCGACTGGGACGCGAGCTCACGGGTCGGTGAGACAACGAGGACCTGGACACACCGCGACGCCGGGTTGACATTGTTGAGCACGCCAATGGAGAACGTGCCAGTCTTGCCGGTTCCGGACTGTGCCTGCGCGATGACGTCGCGGCCCTTGGTGATGGGCACAATCGCCCGCGACTGGATGGCCGACGGCTCCTCAAAGCCAAAGGCATAAATGCCCTGCAGCAGCCGCGGCTTAAGGCCCATCGAGTCGAATGTAGGAAAGATCTCCACCCCCTTGGTCACTCGGAAGTCGGCCTCCTCCGCCCGCAGCTTGGCACTCAGCGTGCTCTTGTGCCGCTTGCTGCGCCCCTCTTTCGTGGCCGACAACGACGACGAGGAGGAGGATTCGCCCGATCGCGAGCCGCGCTTACGCTTGCGCTTGCGCTTGTGCTTTGATGATGACTTGCTCTTAGCCTTGGTCTTGGCCTTGGACTTGGCCTTGGACTTGGCCTTGGCCTTGGCCTTGGCCTTGGCCAAGACGGACGAGACGGACGAGGCGGAGCGGGGCTTGGAGGCCACAAGGGACGACTTGGGCTTGCGGTACGAAGCCGAGGTCGTGCGCTCCTTGAAGCGAGCCACCAGGTCCATGGTGCGTGGTGGGTAGCCTTGGTGGTGATGGGGCGTCAGGTTGTCTTGCACGTGTGCGCAGTGCCTGGGTCGGGCTTGTTGGTCAAGGATGGTTTGGATGGGTGGTGACACGGGAGGGGAGGGGGGGGGGGGGGGAAGGGGAGCGAACAAATGCTTTGGTCAAGATCACTTTATGGAACATGTATTCCTCGGAGAACATTGCTTTTACTCTCTTGTTTGTGGCCGTGGTCAGGTTTGAAACAGGTGAGGTGGACTTGATGCGGCTAGACAAGCTTATACTGGCTCGCTGATGTACGGGACTTGGTCAGAAGCTACAGTACAGTCTCGAACAAGGGCTGCACACCCGGTCGTAGGTGTGGTACAGTGCGGCCTGTCTGTGGCACAAACGTGGCAAGCCGCCAAATGTCACCGCAGATTAGCCGCTTTCGCCGCAACAGCGCATGAATTTAATACAGCGCAAAGGGGGCCGTGCTCACTCCCCACACAGGCAATTGCCAACGAGGAAAGACCCCAAACCACACAGTAAGTGCATTGAAGGCCGCAAGCCGCGATGATTCAGCTGCGTCCATGGTTGGCACGCCACTCACCAACAGCTGCCCAGACTTGCACAGCATGACCGATCGTGTCCTGATTGAACACCCTGTTCCCGAGGCGCAGGAGCTCCTGCCATCGATGGTGGGCCGCGTGGCGGTGGTGACGGGCGCGTCGAGTGGGCTCGGCATCGAGACGGCCAAGTGGCTGGCGCTGCGTGGCTGCGACGAGGTTGTGCTCGCGGTGCGCAACACAGCCAAGGCTGATGGCGTTGTCGATGACATTGTGGCCGAGTGGGGTGAGCAGGTGCCCGACCTGCGGTCGCGGCTGGTGGTGATGAAGCTGGACCTGGCCGACCTTTCGAGCGTGCGGGCGTTTGCGGCTGCGATGGCTGAGCGTCACAGCCACCTCGACATACTAGTCAACAACGCGGGGATCAACATCCCGCTCGGCCGCACCACCGTCGATGGCTTTGAGATGATGTACGGCACAAACCACATCGGCCCGGTCTGCCTCACTGCCGAGCTCATGCCACTCCTGCTCGCGGCGCCAAACCGTGCCGTCGTCTCGACCTGCTCGTCGGGCGGTGCAGACTCGCTCGCGCCGGCTGGACTCGTCCCGGACACCGATGAGGGCCTCACGCAGTGGCCGGCCTACGGCCGCTCCAAGGCTGCTAACCTGGTCTTTACCGTCGAGCTCCAGCGCCGGCTCCTTGCCGCGGGCATCGATCACGTCCGTGCCATGAGCTCCCATCCCGGCTGGACATACACTGGCCTCGTTGATGGCGAGGGCTTCCTTGTCCGCATGCTCAACAAGATGTTCTCGCAGAACGTCCAGATGGGCACCACTCCGCAGCTGGCGTCGGTCGGTGCCGGCTTGCTCCCTGCCGACCATCCGAACAGCGCGTCGACGCACGCGTTTTTCGGTCCGCGTGGATGCAAGTCGATGCGCGGCCCGCCGCACGAGATGCCCATGTTCCGCGAGGATGAGGTCAAGGACGTTGAGCTTGGCACCCGGCTTTGGGACCTCACCAACGAAGCCATTGGCATCGACAGCTGGGCTTTTGAGTAGTCGCATACCCACCCACGCGCTATCCCAGCTCCTCAGATCGGATTGAGCTCCCGTGAGCAATAACAGCATCAACATGTTGCGCATGCAACCAATTCTTTAGTACTGCCTCTGCATCAATCAAACACCACCCGCCGGGTCGACGCGCCGGCAACGGGGCGGCAAACATGCTGAGGAGCGACATGGTCGAAGGCGCGGCGCCAGGCTGGGTCGTGTCGTCGTCATCCGACTCACTGCCGCTCTCGCCAGCAGCATCGTTCTTGCCGTCGCTACCGGCGAGGGCCTCCGAGGCCTGCGCCAGCGCCTGGCTGATGGTGGTGGTGTCGGCGGGGGCAGGCTGGCGTGGGTTGGCGCTTGCCACAGGCGCAGACCGCTTCGTCCGCGAGCTCTTCTTGCGCGCCGCTGCCGCCGCTGCACCCTTGCTCTTGCTCTTGCTGCTGTTCTTACGAGAGCTCGCCTGGAACGAGTACGGCGATCCAAGGAGAAGCATGGCAATCGAGTTGTTGTGGATCGGCTGCGCGGCGGGGCGGTGCCTGCGGGCCGCGATGCGTTGTATGCGGCGAGCGCCTTGGCGTGGGCAGCCTTGGCAACCTTGTACTCGGCCTTGGCCGCTGCTGCCTGTGCCTTGAACGCTGCCTGCTCCTCGGTGCTCAGCGCCTTCCACGCTGCGCCCAGCGCCCGCATCACGTCGGTTGCGCGTGAGCCCGGCGGCATCGACGCCGCCACCTCAGCCCGCTTGCTCGCCGAGAACAGCATGTACGCTGACAGCGGCCGCTTGGGCGCCACCGGTGGAGCTGCAGCGTCCTTGTCGGCTCCACCCGTCTCGGTCCCATCCTCGCCTCCTGCAGCTGGTGCGTCGGCAAACAGTGGGGGCGGCGATGGCGAGGCCGACAGCCGCCTCCGTGCCGCCTTGGTTGGCCGTCCAGCCGCAGCCTCGGCCGCCTCGGCGTCACCTTCCTCGCGCCTCCTCTTGGGCGACGGCGGTTCAGGCATCCGGGCGACTTTGGGGCTCTCGTGTGGGATGTGCATGTATGTGTGGGTATGGGGGGGAGGGGGGGGCGGTAATGGTGGGGGGGGGGTGGCGACGAGTGGTGGCGCCACTTTTGATAGAATCTACGTCGGCAGCCGGTGCGATGCCGGACCAAACCAGGTTGGTTGTTCGTGATCAGCTGCAGATAGAGCGGCGCCTGGGAGCATCGAATGAAAAAGGCGGCAATGAGGGGCTGCAGAGTGTGCAGATGTGGCGTGGCGGTCAAAGTAGCGCGCGGGCTAACGCCGTCGCCGACGACGACGGCGGCGGCGCGGTGGCGTCTCGTCGTCGAGCCAGTGGGCCGATGACGGCGCGTCGTAAAAGACGTCCGAGTCCGAGTCGGACCACCAAGAGCCATCGCTAGAGTTTGAGCCGTGGCTGGAGTCCGAGCCGTGGCCAGAGTTCGAGCCGTTGCCTGTGTCAGGAGTGATGGCTAGCTCGTCGATGGTGCCGGCAGAGAGCTCAGACCACGGGATGTCGATGCCTGGAATCCGCATCATGCGCTGGTATGGTTCGACGGCGCGGCGTTCAAGAGTGAGGACAATGCGGCCGCCAGCGAACTTAAAGTAAACGTCCGAGAGCGCGCGGACGCGCTTGCCATTGATGGCAGAGATGACATCGCCGACGGCGAGCCCGAGGCCGGCCGGCGGCGGCGCAGCGCAGATCGAGTCGCCTGCCACGGCAGTGACGGTTACCATGCCGGGCTCGGGCAGGTCAAGAACGAGCTCGCGCCGGGCAAGCCAGCCCTTGGCGGGCACCGCGGTCGCAATGGACTCGCGGACGAGGAGCTCGTGATACGGCACGCCGAGCGAGGCGTAGATGGCGGCGAGCTCCTCGCGTGGTGAGAAGAGCGGGAGGCTTCCGCCAAGACACGCCGGGAGCGCAGAGCGCGGGATGGCGGCAAAGAGGTCGTTCTCGGACGAGCCGAGAACGTTGATGCGGTCCACCATTTTCTTGGTGAGGAAGGGGCGGACAAGCTTGAACATGAGGTTAAAGTACCACGGTGGGTGCAGGAACATCATGCCCTTAAATCGCATCGGCAGCGTGTGCTGGATCATCCGCGTCCCGCGCTTCATATCGGCCCGCGAGAAGCTGCCCATGCCCGGCGCGTCCGCCATGTGCTGCAGCGCCGAGACGCCGCGGATTTGCGCCGCGTCGTTGTTGGTGAGGATGCGGTCGTAGGCGAGCCAGAGTGTGCGGTGGACGTCGACAATCTGGACGCGCGCCTTGTCGACTCCGCCGAGCACCATTGCTGTGAGATACGTCCCGTTGCCCGGCAGCGGGATGGGGACGTTGACCACCACACCGGCCTCATACACCCGGGTGAGCCAAGGCAGGTCGCCGCGAGTGTAGCTCCCTGGAAAGTCAAACTCGGCAGCAAAGGCGTCGTACGCCGTCCACAGCTGAGCCGCGTCGTCGAGGCGGAACTTGCGGGCGCGAAGAAAGCGCAGCAGCCTCTCACGCTCGCCGCGGCCGAGAGTCTTCTCGTCTAGCCCAAGTGCTCGTGCCAGAGCCACCTGGGCCTCAGCGATTTGTCGCGGATCGAGCTCGCCGAGCTCGCGACAAGCAATGTCCGCGAGGACGGAAGCGTCGTAAGGCGAGGACGAGGCACCAGCCATGGCAGGGTGTTTATCGCCGCCCTGACCAAGCGAGTCCACTACTTGCACTGACCGCGTGACAGCGAAGCTAGCCAGGTGGTGGCACACCCGTTTTGGGCAGGGCGCAGTGGTGCGGCGGTGCGGAGAAACCGTACTCCGCAATTGCTCCGCGACGCCACCTGCACGTGTCACGTCAAGTGTGCGGAGTTGGGGAGAAGGAGTGAGGAGGAGGAGGGCAGTTGGGGCCCTGGTCCTGCCACCTCTGGTCCGCTCCCGACCACAGCACAGGCAATAGGCACGGGGAATGGGCCCGGGCCCGGACACACGAAGGAATGAGAGCAGAATGGCGAGGAGGAAGAGCAAGCATGTCCAGATGTCCACAGCCGGATCACATCATGCCGTCTTCCTCCCACATCTCGTTGAGGATGTGCAAGAGCGAGGGCAGCGGAGTGGGCTCGCCCAGGGCACCCGAGCGGGAAATGAGGCCGTCGTGAACAGCGTCGTAGTCGACCTCGCGCAGCTGCGGACGCGGCCCGGCTGCCGATGCCACAAACGCATTACGGTCTTCGCGCCACTTGAGCAAACCTGTGGGTTGGACGAGAGGTAGGTGAGGCGGGGGGGGGGGGGGGAGGAGGGGGGCAAGGGGAGGAGGGGGGCAAGGGGAGGGAGGGGGGCAAGGGGAGGGAGGGGGGGGCAAGGGGAGGGAGGGGGGCGAAGGGAGGGAGGGGGGCGAAGGGGC